CCGCGCGCCATCCGGGGCGGGCCTGCGACCCGCACTCGCCCCTCGCTGTAGCCAGCCCCGTTCACCGCTAACCCACGCGAGGCACCGCGGCACTTCCCCAGCGCCCTCAGCGTCACACGTGGCAGCCCCTTCCCGCCATTTCCAATCTGGCCGCGCAAGAGGTCGGGCGGGGCAGCCACCTCTTCCACGGCGCCCGGCTGAAATGGAGACGCCCCAGCGTGAACAAGGAAGCAAAGCTTAAGAGCTCCCCGAGGTCACCCCCTAGCGCTGTCCGCACAGCGTAGAGGGCAGCTCCGAATATGCTGAGCAGCTCCGCAGAGGGACCTGGAGAAACTGAGGAGCCACTTACTGCTCTCCCCTCGAAAAAGAAATCACCCCGGGCTGGAAGGAAAACTCAGGAAAGTTACCTGGAAACCAGGTAAGAAATCAGAAGTTGGTCCAGTAAAATATAGTCCCTCACCCACCTGGTCTTTCCAATATCCTGGGACCAACGGGGTACAACGTTACACGCCTTAATAGGCCATTTAAAGAAAGCCTGGGGCATTTACCCTCGTTTGAACCGAGGTATGTTTTCAAAAGGAGACTTGAACTTTTACCAAAAATGGGGCAACATTCTGCTGAGATGGGCTGGGTGGAAAACATTAATCAAGGCTGCTACTTGGGGTCATCAGCACCTTAGTGATTTTAAATAGAACTGGTCAGCAAGCTCTTTTATGGCCATGCATGCTGCCTGATTTCTAAACTGCTGAAGTCAGAGTTAGGTGAAAATGGCAGACATTGTTCCTCTGGAAGGCCCTCCCCTCTCTTATAGCCTCCTCTAGTCTCGCCATTGTTGATGTCTCAGAGGGGTAGCCCTGTTAGTTTGTCACTTTAAAAACAATGAGTAGTTCTATTGTATTCTAGGCTATGTCCAGGGCCGGATTTAGGAAGTGTGGGGCCCAAACAAAGCACACAAACGTTTCAACGGGAGGGGGGGGAGGGAAGGAATTTTTTTTTGATTGAGAAAAAAAAAGCACAAAAAATTCCCCACCCAACACACACACCCTCCTGCAGCACAGGAAAACCCTGCACTAACCCCTGTTAACCAGGCCTCTGGAGGTAACACGCTCTGGGCAAGATGGACACATGACCAGAAGTAAAAGGGGTCATGTCACCCCTCTCCAAGGACTTTTCCCACCATCCTCCTACAAACAGGGATTAGTTTGACCCCCACCAAATCCTCCTTATGCAACTATCCTGCAATTGCATTAACCCAATGTGTGTGACATTAACTCGGGCAGAGAGGCTGGGGGAAGTGTTCCCTCTAAAGCTATGTCTACACTCATGGCTTCTTGTGCAAGTACAGCTGTATACACCAGGGCACCACAGAGCAGCCACACTGCCTGCCTGCTCTTGTGCAAGGAAATTTGCAGTATGGCATGGTAAGAGAGGGTGTCTTGCGCAAGAGCTACGCTCTTTTTTTAACAGGTGTAAGCTCTTTTGTGCAAGAGGGCAGTGTGGATGCTCGGCAGGGATTTCTTGCGCAAGAAACTCCTATGGCTAAAATGGCCATTGGAGTTTTCTTGCTCAAGAGAGCATCCACACTGCCATGGATGCTCTTGCGCAAAAGCACAGCTCACATATGGCAGTATGGATGTGTTCTTGTGCAAGAAGTCTTGCACAAGAACCTTTGCGCAAGATGTTCTTGCACAAGAAGCCGCCAGTGTAGACATAACCTAAGAGTTTCCTCCCATGAGCAGAATGGATTTTGTGTTGTGCACCTGTACTGAGTTCATGTGGCTTGTTTGGACGTGCCACTGTGGCACCCAAGTTATAAATAAATATTTTATAAACCTTTACCTTTTCTCTCTGCTGCCATGTCTCCTCCCCTTGCTCCATCAGCTCCCCTTTTCTCTCTGCTGCCATGTCTCCTCCCATTGCTCCATCAGCTCCCCTGGTGCCTGCTGCCCCCCAACTCCTCACCCTTCTCTGCTGTCCTGACTGCCCTTCTCACTGCCCTCAGCCCTCCTGAGACCTGCCTCCTTCCACCAGCCCTTCTCTCCCTCCTGTGCCCACTCCTCCAGTAGTCCTGCTCTGATCATGTGAGCTACCCCTCCTCATCCCCTCTTCTAACACTTCCCTCTACACACCTGCCCTGCCTCTCTCCTTTGGTGCTGGTCCCTCCCCTGCAGGTGTCTGCCCTTCTGCTTCACCCCAGAATGTCCTGGCACCTGCACCTTCCCTTAGCTCTGCACCCTCCTGGTGCCTCCCCCTTCCCTTACTGCCACTGCCGCCTTTGCCTTCTTTTTCCCTGATGCCCACCCCTTCATCACTCTCTGCCCCATTCGCCTCCTGCCCCTCTGTGCCCTCATACATGACTTGCTCCATCCCCACCTTTCTCATGCCAACCCCTTCTTTCAAGCCTTGTCCTAGCACCTCCCCCTCTAGCCCCCAATGCCCTTCCCTTCTCCTCTCCTCCCTCAGCACCACCCTGTCCCCCCTCCCACTGACACCTCCTGTCCTTTTCCTCATTGTCTGCACTTGGCCCCCTGGCATTTGTGTCTCCTCCACCCTGTCTCTTGGGGCCTTCCTCTTTCTTCCCCCTCCCCTCCTGCACAAGCCCCTTCCTCTCCCACCCCCTCTCTTCCCTCCTGCCTTCCACTTTGCGGGGTCGGAGTCTGCGCTCGGGCTCCAGACTCTGAACCCGGCGTTAGGCAATGCGGCACTGAGGAGTTTTAATGTCCCGGGCCGTGACATCACGTCACGCCCGGCCAGCCTCCCTGCTCACCTGCAAATGCCGCGCATGGCAGCAGCAGCAGCAGCGCGTGCCGGCGAGGGGAAGCCACACTGAGAGCTGCGCACAGCAGGGATGGGACGAGGGAACACGCTGGGGGGCCGGCAGATGGGGGCTGAGGACTACTCCAGACAGAGCCCGGGGAGAGACCCAGCTCCAAATATTGCTGGAGCAGGGCCCCCAGCTCTGAATATTGGTGGAGCATGGGCACCACGAGCCCATATAACTCGCCACCCATGCAGGTGAGGGTGGCGATAGGACAGTACCTGTAAGAAATTTAAGTATGAAACGGAGTGCAGAGATTATTCACTTGCCGCCCGTGGTGCCCAGCACACTTCTGGGTTCAGGGCATGGGGCCCCTTTAGGCGCTGGGCCCCATTCGGGGGAATTGGGCGAATCGGCCTAAAGCTGGCCCTGGCTGTGTCTTCACAGCAGAATTATGAACATAGTCCACGTCTACAATGTCAAGCTGGAGGATTTCTTACTCTTGACGCCTATAACTTTCATTGTGCAAAGAGTAAGGGAAGTTGGAGGCAAAGTGATCTTTCTCGGACTTCCTGCTGTGTAGACAGCACCAAAAGCCAAAATAAGCTATTTCAGCGTAAGCCACACAACTTATGTATTTCAAAAGCAGAAGTGCCACAGAGAACATGGGGCGAGTCAGCTTCAAAGCTGGTTCCCCCAGCACCGTCTCCAGGGTGCCTTCTGCCCGCACCCCCTGCTGCTTCTATCAGAGGTGCTGCGAAGCAGCTCCTGCCCATGGGGGTCTCAATGGGGAGCTGGGACCCCCTGTGGACAGGGACAGTTGCCACTAGGCAACCCCAGTTTGTGGCGGCTGGGGCTATCTGTGCGCAGAGGCTGCTCAGGCACCAGCCCCTGTCCATGCCCAGCCCTGGCTGTTGTGAACAGGGGCTGATGCCAGAGCAGTCTCTGTTCGCAGTGGCCAGGGCTGTCCTCTGTGAACAGGGACTGCTGTGAACAGGGACTGCTGGACTCAGCACAAGCCGAGACCGAGCAGTCCTGGCTCGTGCTGATCTCTGTGCCTCTGCATTTTAAATGTAGTAAGAGCCTAGCAGCTTTTACTACATTTCAAATGCAGAGCTGCAGCACGGGTGGCTCTGGAGCTGGCACGAGCCAGGACTGTTCAGTCCCAGCTCAAGTCAGCTCCTGGAGCTACCCCAGCTGTGGTTCTGCACGGTGGAGCTTATTGACTAACTGTATCAATAGAAATTGTATTGACATACGATTAGCCAGATAATATTTTAACATCCTTATCTCTTCCTTACCTTTAGCACTCAGGTTATTGTTTTCTACTTTTTATTTGATTTTTTTTAAACACTTTTAAGGGCATTCACTCACTAATTTTGGGCTCACCTTATTCGTTTTAGTACCCTCTTGACATTATTGGGACTCGGCATGAATGAGCTGAACAGATTTTGGTCTTGTGTGAAAGTTGGCATCCAAGGAAAAAACATAGTGATTATAAAGAAAATGACAAACCATTAACTACAGTACTGTTGTAGCAGGTTGTTGCTTTACTCTGTGCAGGGCTTAACAGGCTGTTTAGATATGTGTGAGCAAGACAAGTCTTATGAGGCTAGCTAGTAAATCCAACATCAATGTCTAATTCCCATCACTCATGACAGTTACTAGCAAGAAATGGAAGGAATGCAGTGGAGGTAGCAGATTGAGCCCAGAGGATGGAGTATTTCAGTTATTTGACAGAGCCTTTTCTGGGTTCTAAGAAGTAGTTGCCTGAAACTAAAACATTACAAACTCTAAGGCTATGTCTACACTGCAGGCTTTTTGCACAAGAACTTGCAGAGCGTCTACACTGCACGCGCATTATTGCACAAGTAAATTTACAGTACAGCGTTGGGAAAACAGGGCTTCTTCCGGAAGAGTTATTCCTCTCCCCGCAAGTAATAAGCCCTCTTGCGCAAGAGCTCTTCCACAAGAAGGCAGTGTAGACAGGCAACATGCATTTCTTGCACAAGAAACCCCTATGGCTAAAATGGCCGTCAGAGCTTTCTTGCGCAAGAGAGCATCCACACTGCCATGGACGCTCTTGCACAAAAGGACATCTCTTGTGCAAAAGCACATGGCAGTGTGGATGCGCTCTTGTGGAAGACCTTTTGCACAAGAACTCTTCCGCAAAACGGTTCTTGTGCAAGAAGCCTGCAGTGTAGATGTAGCCTTTAGGGCTTCAGTTCTTAAGACCATACTAGGTTCATCTGTGAGAGTGTCACATCTTATATGCTAACAAGGTCAGCCATGGTTAGAGAATTTAACAGAGACATCCCAGGAAATACCACAGCACTACAGAAAGTGCTGTTGATGATCTGTTTTATGATAATCTTCCCCTGGAGTTCATAATGACCCAAGCTTGGTACTATGGAGGGGGAAGATGATGTTTGGATGAATTTCTAGAAACTGTGTTTCTAATTAACCGGGATTGTACATCCCTAATCAGTTAACCAGTATGTTAAACTGGCTATCGGATTAAACTGCAGAAGAAGCGGGAGCTGGAGCAGTCATCCCCCACCCCGCTCCCCTGCTGCAGCCAGGGACTGCTCCAGATAGGCTGGAGATCCCCTCCCCACTGCAGCAGGCCCCACAGGGCTGGAGTAGCACCTGCCCACAGC